ACTTGCTTTTTAGCCTTTGAGCTATAATGAACTAATTAAAATATTCTCCTGATGATGCTAGTAACCAATTTTGCATCATATAACAGTTAGACATTATTCCTGTTTAGCCTTCTGGCTAAAGTTAAGCTATTCTTATTAATATTATTATTTGTTTTGCTTTTGTTGTTTTTCAATTAAAAAAGCTTAATAAAAGTTCCAGGTTTTGGAGTTTGATTTTAAAGGACTGTTTACAACACTTCATCAACATCAATTTCCAACAGAAATATATAAGGAACAAAAAGCAAGAATAATTATCAGTGGAGAAAGATCTGAATATATAAAGATTTGTAGAGGAACAAGACAAGGGTGCCTCCTCTCCTCATTATTATTTTTGAAAGTTACTGAAAGATTAATAAAAGCAATTAAAAAAGATGATTTAATTCAGGGTGTTAGAATTAAAAAAAAAATAACTATAAGTTACATGCATTTGCGGACGATCTAGTTATATTTTTGGAGAACCCAGATAATAGTATAAATTATTTGATTAAAATTATAGGAGAATTTCGTGAAGTAATGGGATATAGATTAAACAAAGACAAATCTTCAATTCTTACAAAAAACAAGATAAGAAAAGAGAATTAGAATTAGAGGAAAAAGTTGGTATGAAAATACAGAAAAAAATAAAATATCTAGGGGTTACAGTTACTAAGAAAGCAATAGATTTGTTTGATGAAAATTATACTAAAAAATGAAAAGAGATAAAAAGAGACTTGAATCAATGGAATACAAACAAACATCATTTATGGGAAGGACTGTAACTCTTAAAATGACAGTGCTACCAAATATGCTTTTTTTTAATTCCAGACAATACCAATTTTAGTTAAAGATCACTCACAAAATATTTAAGAAATCAGATTATAGATGAAGAAACTAACGAACAGATACCAATACTAAAATATTTAAAAATAACATTGCTATTATAAATTATACAGAATTAAGAGTAAAAGATACTTAAGGTTGGTTATATAATAGGATGTAGTGAAGTTCAAAAGGAATAAATAATTAGGGAATATGATAAGACAGTAATCCCTTAATTTTAAGGTGTTGATAGCTGTAAAATAAAATATAAATAGGCAAATGAAAATGAACTAAAAGGGGTATTAGAAAATATTACAAAGAATTTTGGTTGGGAACAAACTTGAACAAGGTAGAACTAATTGTGTATGTATGAGTAAAAAATGAAGGAGGAAATTATTTGGCATGGATTTAGAAACACATTTGGATTAGCAAGATAGCAAAGCAACAATATATTAAATATTTGACAAATAAAAACTAAAAGGGATGTAAGTAGAGAATAAGAAGGACAAATATACTCACAAAGAAACCAGTTAGGACAAGGAGGAAGTTAGTATATATGGTTTAAGTGCAAGAGAGAATGGGAGAATGGAAATGATGGAAAGATGGGATGTGGAAAATGAAGGTTAAAGGAAAGTGAAGAAGATGAGAGTAAGTAGTAAAGAGAATGTATAAGTGGGTGGAAGGAAGGAGGAGGAAGAGAAGATATACGATGAAGGAATTGGTAGGGAAGTAGGAGGGGGAGGGAGGGGGTTAGTAAAGAAGGAAGAGATTGTAACAGAAAGGGATGATATAAGAATGAAGATTTTTAAAGGATATAGACAGATAAGGAATGAATGGAGAAGAATGATGGTGTTTTGGGTGGGGAAAGGTATATGAGATGAACAAAATATATTACGACTCTAAATAGTAAATATAATAATGGTAGTATGTATAATAACTAGCTTATGTTCTTTGTTTAAAGATGGACTGATTGATGGTTTAAATAAAATTTTAAAAAATTAAAAAAGAAGGGGACATTAATTTTGCTAATTCCATGGGAAGAGCAAATGGCCAGCAGTGGAAAGGAGTGGTAGTTTATGACCCCAATCTTCCTTACGTAGATCGGAGCTTTGAAACTGGGATGAGTTTCTTCCTGAATCTCAGGGGGATTTTCTTTAGTTCTAACACTGAACTCGGGACGAGAACTTTCTGTCTTAATATCCAGAATACATCTCTAGTTTTACTACACTACGATGCTGTCTTGGTTATTGGGGACTGGGTCCTCTGGTCCTGACAACACATACACTTGGCAAGAGTGAGAGTGACTGCAGGGACAGAGGGCAAGAGGCAATCTTCCAGTGAACCAGGGTTGTCAAAGCTTGTTAAGGTAGCAGAAATGCAGCTCTTTTATTTACCTCTGTTTGAATAACCTGTGGAAACCATAAACATTTTAACTTTTTAAAGGGAAACAGAAGTTAGCACAAGATAAATCACAATGTTGTATACTGATAATGTATAAGTACTATGAATGTTAAGATGAAAATAAACCTTTAAATAAAAAGTTCTCTCCAATTGGGTACACAACAAGTCAATACATGGATTTTAATTAGGTGTTTATAGTCTACTGAGAGCACCAGATTGGTGTAGTGGTTTGAGCAGAGGACGTGAACTCTGGAAATCAGGGTTTGGTTCCATGCTCACCCAGGGAAACCCACTGGGTGACCTTGGGCAACTCATACACTCTCAGCCTCAGAAAACCCTGTGATAGGTTTGCCTTAGGGTCAGTGTAAGTCAGAAATGACTTGAAGGCACACAACAACAACAACAGCAACAACAACAACGCCACTGAATTTTTAAAATGATAATGTATAAAGAAAGTCTAGAGAGAAATTATAAAATAAAGAAACTGTACCTGCTGGGAACTAATGTACAGTCAATGTCTGGCCTTTTTGTTTTGGGAATGGCATAAAGAGGGTATCGGTCCCCATGACGAATCAACACATGGACAGAAATCAGTTTAAAATAATGAGGTGCATGGCCTATAAGAGAAAAAAAAATTGTTTCATTTTAAAAATATCAAGGAGCTCAAAGAGGACACTTATATGAACATAAAACAATCAGCAACATACAAAACACAGTCAATGAAAAGGCCTATTAGCTCAGAGGATCTACTACTGACATGACTGGTGCTGGATTACATACAGTGCTCCTGTATACATGCCACAATTATAATCTAGATGTATTGGCAGATGTATATACTCAATAGGAACCACATTTACTGTGTGCACTTTGTTTCATTGTCACAATTTTTTAATGTAGTTTAGTACCACCTTTACTCCTTATTCTGTTTTCTCACAACCTTACTAAAATAAATAATCATTAAATGTCTACCAAATCAAGACTGAGAAAATGGTATGGTGATAATATCAGCAATACATATTTAGTGGCATAGTTGTCTGAGTGTTGGACTGTGACTCTGGAGACAGGGTTCAATTCCCTGCTTAACCATGAAACTTGCTACGTGACCTTGGGCAAGTCACATGCTCTCTGCCTCAGGGAAAGGCAATGACAAACCTCCTCTGAACAAATCTTGCCAAGAAAACCAAACATCTTTAAGGCATATAGCAGCAGCAACAACAATTAAACTGACCTATCCTTTGAACTGAAAATGAATGTGACACATGGGTTGGTTCTTAATAATTTACGAATATTGTACTTTTGACTCCTGGATGTAGTTTAGACAGCAACTGCAAATCATTATAGAATACAGTAACACACTATGGTCTGTGCTAGAGAAGAACATAGAGAACATAAAAGTAACCTTGTCAGATAAGATGAAAAGGCTTATCTAGTTCAGTATTTTATATACCCCAGTTGTCAGTCTGGGAAACCTATAGATAAGCAGAAAGATTACACCCATTTCCTGCCGTTGATCCCTAATAACTAGTATTAAAATAACTGATTATACTGTCTTTCTGGCTGGAAGTTCTACGGAGCCATAGTGACTATTTCTCCAGTCTCCATTTAATGTCATTTAACCTATTGCCTATTAGGTGCATGGCCATTTAATGTCATTTAACCTATTGCCTATTAGGTGCCTGGCCTATAATAAGCCTTAGGTAACCAACTCCCGAAGTTGTGTGTTGTGTAAGGAAATAGTTCCATTTGTCTCCCCGGATGTCCTCTCAATTAATTTCATTGCATAACCCTGAACTCAAGCATAATAAAAGAAGACCCTCTTTTATCCATTTCAGTATGCCACAGTATGCATTCTTCTAAATAAATGAAGCTACAAGATCCTGAACTGTAATGAACACCTAACGTATAAAGAACCTCTTTGCTTTAGCAGTTTATGAGGAGCTGGCAAAAAAGTCTATTAAAAATAAGAGTAAACTTAACAATTGTAAAGTGTGGTGAAATGGTTTGAGCTCTGTCTTAGGACTCTGGAGACAAGGATTTCAATCCCTCCTTGGCCACGGAAAACCACTGGGTGACCTTAGGCAAGTCACACCCAGCCTCAGAAGAAGGCAAAGGCATACTCATGCTGAACAAATCTTGTAAAAAAAAAACCAAAAAACCACGAGAGGTTTGCTTTAGGGTTGCCATAACTCAGAAATGACATTAGCACATATATATATATATATATATATATATATATATATATATATATATATATGTGCTAATATATATATAGTTTCTAGCCCTCCATATATATATATATATATATATGTGCTAATATATATATAGTTCCTAGCCCTCCATAGTGCCAAGCAGACATAAAGCACTGATTGCAACTCCACCCCCACAATTAATAAAATAAAATAATAAAAGTAATTGATTAATTAAGGGAAAACAAGAACTGCAGTTATGTGAGTTACTGTACATAGTCTTACATAAAAAATTATGTTATCTACCCTTTAGAAATAATGCAGGAGTAAATTTAGGAACTTATTGTCTTAAATAAAAGAATATTCCATAATTGTAATGTAACTGCATTCCACTTTTTGCAGTTTTTTGGAGGGAGGGAAATTTACACATCTACATGTATGAAATATGGTACAAGGGATGATGTCCCCAATTAATTGAAAATCTTACAAGTTGTAGGGGGCTTCTGAGTTCATGAGCATGGTCACTTTCCCCTTTCTGGGGTCATGTGAAGATGGGAAAATGGAAGAAAAATGGAACTAGTAGGAGGAATGGGGATGTTGTGTGTAAAGCGACTATCAGTACAATAACTGACTATCTTTTTTGAAATAACATTGAGTGCACATAATTGATTAGGTCTATCCAATATGCCATTGCTTGCTCTCATCCCATTCATCATCCAACCAGTGAATAACTGTTGCAGTGGGCAACTAGTAGGGTTGGTCCCCACCAACTGGTGGAACAGATGATGAAAAATGAGAAATTAAAAAAGAAACAAGTTACTTTCTCCTTTTCCATCATCCATTCCAGTGTCCATGTTTCCTGCACTAATTTTATTATATTTTCTGTAGTGACCTTCCTTTCTCCCCTTTGGCCATTTTTCCTGATGAATTTTCCTGATGAATTTTCAAAATTTTCCAGCTGGCAGAGCAGATAATTTTAAAAAAAATGAAGGGGGAGGGCGATCTTAACGGATCTAACTGAAAAGAACTCTGAACTTGGGTTCCTGTCTAGCCGGCTGGCACATGAGGTAAAACCCTCACATAGTGGATTGCTCCACGTGCCATCCCGAAAATCCCTGGATTCCTTCTGCACCCCATTCATGAAGCTGGAGTCTCTTGTATGAATGGGAGACAGCAGCTTTCAGCGTGAGGAGTAGACAAGGAAGTTGTTCAGGAGTTGTTTATATCACAACTACTGCCATTACAGTCAGTGATACACAAAATTATTAATGATTCTGTATGGTCTAGTAGGGGAAGAGATCAATGGCAGGGGTGACATCATGAGTGATCGCACCAGGTGATACAGATCCTAGTGACACCACTGTTTTGTGGCAAAAGCCACTGTGGGCAAAAGGTCTCTTTGTTATTACTCAGCCAGCTGCTCGGCTGCTGCTCCCTAAGGGACCAGGTGCAAAGGGAGAAGCTTCTCCCTGGAGAGGAAGGACTCTCAATTGTTTTTTGTCGATGCAAACAGAGGTACAGCTGGTGTGTGCATAAGGGGGTTTCAGAGGCCACATGCTCTGGACTGGAGACTGGCATGGATGGGGAAAGGGAGAGATTTTAACTACTTGAGCTACTCCAAGTCAAAGGACTCTTTTCAAGAATTGACTTCAGAAATTCTTCCTTCCCCAGAGATGTGCCTTACCCACATGACTTCAAGTGTTAATCCCCACCCCCAATATTGTTTCTTCTGCTACCTCTTCTCTCAGACTGAGAAATGAAATCAGGAGGAGAAGCATAGCTGCAACCTGTCAAAGTCCTGGCAAAGCTAAGGAGCAATGGATAAATGCCAAAACTGCAGCCACAAGGTTGTGAGTTCGATCCCAGGCAGGACTCCAAGGTCCACTCAGCCTGCCATCCTTTTGTAGATCGGTAAAATGAGTACCAGCTTGTTGGGGGCAATTGGCTTACATATTGTAAACCGCTTAGCGAGTGATAGTTTACTAATAAGTGGTATAGAAATGTACTTGCTATTGATATTGTTATAAAGCTAGCAAGCTGGGTCCCGAATTTGAAAGCTCCTTTCTGCTGCCACTTCTCCATCGCCATGTGCTCTAACTCCTTGCTCCAGTCAGTCAGTCTGTACCAAAATGGCACTACTCCAAGACACAGAAGCAATGCTCTGAACCCAAGCCTCACAAGTATTTCCAACCGCCACAATTAGCGAAAGACACAGCTAAGGGAGTGAGCTCATGCAGTGAGGTGAAGAGTGGGAGGCACCACCACATGAAGCAATCATTAAAGCTGTACAGTGATTTTAAGGGTACCTGAAAAGAATTTTAATGCAGCTGCATCCCTAAAGCTGTGAAGGCCCAGGAAAAAGGGGGGAATGAGAAAAAATTAGAAAAACCCAGAAAAAAACAGGAAGGGGAATTTTTTTTCCTATTTTTTCCAGGCCTTCACATCTTTAATCCTAAAGGCTGCAGGTTTCCCTTGTTTTTCTTGCCACCAATACTTTGACTAAAAGTCCACCTGTTGCCCCCTTTCTCTCTCACTGCCACCCTGAATCTTTCCACCATCCTCGGGGGGAGGTGTACTGCCTATTCTGGGAATCACTGGACCAGATGGATCTTTGGTCCATTCTATTCCAGCCAGATGACTATATTTCACCCAAACTGTTAATAGTTGAGGCTAAAACAGAAGATTTTGATTTTTCATTTTAGTTTTAATTGCTATTGTTGCTTCCTTCTACCTGGTAGTTTTCTGACAGCATGCTTTATTGGGAATGCTAGAATATGTAAACAAGCACCATTAATTATACCAAAATGAAATAGCAGACATCAACACAATAATATATTTACCTTCCATACTGCGTTCAGGTATGCTGGGAATGTTACAATAAAATTTGGCTTCATAAATGGGATCTATGGCAGGTGGCTCTGTCAGTGGATTTGGCATAATTCTCTTTCGGTTCTTAGAATTCAAGCCATCTTCCTTAACTGGATTAATGGGAATCAAGTGTACTAAAAAAAGAGATACAAATAAGCAATATGTATGGTTGATAATAGTAAATTATTTAAATGCTACATCATTTATCTGAATAACTCACAGCAGATAAATATACACTTATCCCTCCACATTTGCGACTATGACTTTTGCGGAGTTGATTATTCACGGATTTTATTAATATGTTCTCTCTAGGAATATCTAGGTCTTCCAGTGCAACTCTATGGTCAACTTTAATCAAAAGTCACACTAAAGGACTTAAAGAGATTCCTAGAGAGAACACTCCACTAGGCATTTGCAGTTCCTCCAGCACAATTCTATGGTCAGTATCTGGACAGAGTTGCACTGGAGTACCTAGAGATTCCTAGAGGTGTTCTCTCAGGTAAAAACATAGTGTATTTGTTATTTGCGGTTTTTCCACATTCACGGGAGTCCTGTGCCCCTAACTCCAGTAAATGTTGAGGGACGAGTGTAAATGTAACACATAAATACAAATAACTAAAAAAAAAAAATTACTGATGTAAAATCTATTTAATCACTCGTTCAGCTTGTCATCAGTTAATAATTTGCTGTGCACTGAATCAGAATACCTTGTTGAATAAGATTAGTCCCTCCATAAACTAAAAACTAAAAAATTAAAATGTTAATAGATGAGTTGTCAAACTAAATGTATTTGGTATGTGATTTGTGTTTCAAGATACTTCAGTCCTACACAAAAAGGATAGTTTTGAGTACTTCTTAAATTCTAGCTTTTATTTGCTTAGAAACCATTTCCCCCAGTTTTCAGTAAGTTTAATCCTTTTTTCCAACAGAAGATCTTTCTGAAACAAGCTATCTTTCCAATAAAATGTGCATCACAGCAAGGGTGAGAACCAACAAAAAGGGAGAAAAAAGAGACATGCACAATCACAGCCA